CTTTCTCTCTGAGGCAGCTATTTCTTAAGGAGTTTTATTTAGCAGGCACTGTCTATGTATCACACCCTATGGTACTTAGAATACTGGAAATTTTTTTTTTTAAACAAAACACTGTAATTCTTGAAACAAAGTAGTTTGTGTCTTTGAAAATATTTTGTTGGAAAAAACTTGGGGTGAAAAGTAGTTTTCTTTTGAACTCAGCAAGTTTTGGCTCCTTTACATTTTCTTTAAATTTTGTTTGAATTTGAGCATCTTTCTTTGTTTTATTGTTACTTATTTATTGACTGATTGATGGCCTATGTGGGGATCCAAACCCTTGACCTTGGTGTTATCAAAACTGTGCTCTAATAACTATCTTAGTGATCTGGCCACTCAACCTTCTTTAATTTATCTTTCTTCTCATATTTTCTCAATGGCAGAGAGAGGAGACCAGCTAGCACTTTTCCCATTGTTCACAGAATTCTCCTTTGGCAGAGCCCTGAGAGGTTGAGATTTCCTTTCCATTTTCCATGCTGTGATAGGCAATATTGTGGCCCACATCCTTCAGTGCTCCATTTATACCTGGTAATATGTTTTGTGCTGAAGCTTCTTTTGGCTAGTATTAATATTTCCACTTAAGCTTTTCATAATTAGTGTTTGTGTAGCACATTTAATTTAATTTTGTTTTGTAACTTTCAGTCTGTTTGTGTCTTTGTATTTAAAGTGTATGTCTCTGGACAGCATATTATTGGGTCTTAACTTTTCTATCGAATCTGATAGTTTTTGCCTTAAGTAGAATATTTAGACTAATTCCACTTAATCTACTTATTAAAAGGGGTAGATTTAGGTCTGCCATTTTGCTATTTTTCTTTGTTGTTGTCTCATCTACATTTTAATCCTTTGCTTTTTCTTTTCCCAAGTTTTTTTTTCATTAATCATATATTTTTTAATATTTTAGTTTGTTCCATCTATTGGTTTTTAAAATATTTATTTTAATTTTAGTTTTGGTAAAGAAAAATACACATAACAAAAAATTTAGCATTTGAATCATTTTTTACGTTTAAGTAGTATTATGTATACTTACAGTGTTGTGCAGGAGATGTCCAGAACTTTTTTTATCTTGGAATATTGAAGCTCTATATCCATTAAACGACAACCCTCAATTTTCCCCTCCTTGTAGCTTCTGGCACCTGATATTCTAGTTTTGTTTCTCTAAATTTGACTCGTATCAGTGGGGCCATACAATACTTGTGATTTTGTGAGTGGCTTATTTCGCTTTGCATAGTGTCCTCACTGTTCCTTGTTATAACATATGTCAAGATTTTATTTCTTTTTATGGTTGCATAATATTCCTTTCTGTGTATATACCACAATTTATTTATCCATTCATTCTTGGATAGACGTTTGGAATGCTTGCACCACTTCACTATGTGACTAAGGCTGCTATGAACACTGGTGTGGAAATATCTTTTGGGGATTTAGCTATTAATTATTTTGGATATATACATCGAACTTGGACTTCTGAATCACATGGTAATGCCATTTTTGATTTTTTGAGAAGCCAGTATATATATTTTTAAATGGTACAAGGGGTGCACCATTTTATATTGCCACCCACAGCATACTAAAGTTCCAATTTCACTGAAACCTGTTATTCCGTATTGAGTGTGAAGCAATATTTCATTGTGGTTTTGCATTTTCTAATGTTTAATGCTGTTAAGCATCTTATCGTGTGTTTGTTAGACACTGGTATATCGTTGTTGGAGAAATGTCTATTCAATTTCTTTGCTATTGTTTTGTTGGGGGGTGGTGTTGGAGTGGCTGCCTGGTATGGGGAACTGAACCTTTGAACTTGGTGTTACAATTCTGTCTCTAACCAATGGAGGTAACCAGTCAGCCACC